TGCTTTTTTTTTCAGCAATGTCACACTGTTGACTCATATTTACATGAGTGATGGGTTAAGGTAGGGCTGGGGGAGACAAGCCTCCAGACCAAGTTATTTCTACACTACTGAGTTTTTTTGGAAAAACAGCCATTTTTCTGAAAAACGTCACTTACATCCACACTGTAATCGTATTCTTTAGAAAAAAAAATCAAAAGAACAAGTTTTTTTTCCTAACATTGGTAAACCTCTTTCTACATGGAAGAAGCCTTTTTCCGAAAGAACTCTTTCAGAAAAAGGCGTGTGTGGAGGGGGAAGAGGAAGTTCTTTCAAAAGAAGAGGAAAGAGGAAAAAGCACAGGTGCCCTAGTGGCCACCAATCTCCTTGGTGAAAACTGAAACAAAGAAGTCATTAAGCAACTTTAGCATTTCCACATTTTCCTGCTTTATTGAGTAACGGAGTAACGGGCCTATCTTGTCCTTGGTCTCCTCTTGCTTCTAATATATTTGTAGAATGTTTTATCTCTCTAGATAGTTTTAGCTTGTTTTGTGCCTTCGCCTTTCTAATTTTGCCCCTATATACTGGTGTTATTTGTTTATAGTAATCTTTTTTAACTTGACCTAGTTTCCATTTTTTAGTTCTCTTTTTTGATTTTTAAGCCATTCAAGATCCCCTGGTTAAACCAGAGTGGTCTCCTGCCATACTGCCTTCTCTACACTGTGGAATAGTTTGCTCTTGCATCTTTAATAATTTCTCTTTGCAAAATCACCAACTGTCTTCAATTGTTTTTCCTCTTAGTCTTGCTTCCCATTGGAACTTATGTACCATCTCCTTCAGTTTGCTAAAGTTGGCCTTCTTGAAATCCATTGTCTTAGTTTTGCTGTGCTCTCTCCTACTATTCTTTAAAATAAATAAAATCTGATTACTTTCTTTAACAGACACTCTATAGGTAAATCTACATGGAAAATACTGCCACGGTCATCTTCCGGGGTTCAATTTAGCGGGTGTAGTATAGACCCACTAGATTGAACTCAAAGGGCACCCCCCCCATTGGGGCAGGTACTCCTACTCCTCGTGAGGAGTAAGGGAAGCAGATGGAAGCATTTGCTCCCATTGACTTCCTGCTCCCATTGACGGGGATTTAAGATACATCTTACTTCGACTTTCCCATGTAGTATAGACCAGGCCTATGTTACTGCCATTATCTACTCTATTTTAGTCAATTGTTTTTCAATAAAAACTAGAATTGTCATACAATTAAAATTAATTACAATTCATCATGTGAATAATTGCATTGTTAAACAATAATAGAAAACATTTATTTACATATTTTTGGATGTTTTGGATAAATGTTTCTTCATGGTTCAACCACTATTCCAGGAGACATGCACCCATGCTGATGACAAGTTCTGCTCAATAATAATCCAAAGCAGCTTGGATGATGCACATTCACCTTCATCATCAGAGTCAGATGCCTCCAGCAGAAAGTTGATTTTCTTTTTTGGTGGTTTGGGTTCTGTAGTTTGCAGTTTGGAATGTTGCTCTTTTAACACTCCTGAAAGCAAATTCCACACCTCTCCTCACTCAGATTGCGGAAGGCATTTCAGATCCTTAACCCCTGGGCTGAGTGCTGCATCTATCTTTAGAAATCTCACAGTCAGAACCTTCTTTGCGTTTTGTCAGATCTGCGGGGAAAGTGTTCTGAAATAAAAAGCATGTGCTAAGCAGGGCTGGCCCGAGGTATTCTGGTGCCCCGGGCATGGGTGCGCGGCACCGCCCCCAGGTGCATGGCGCATGCGTGGGCCTGCCCGTGTTGAGTGCGCCTGCCCCCCTAAGGTGTGCAGGCCCGCCCCCAGAGCGCAGGGTGCTTGCGTGGCCCAGCTACAGCCGCTGGCGTGCAGCCCGGGGCTTGCCCTTAGGGCGCACAGTGCAAGCCCAGCCCAGTCCAGCCCAGCTGTCACTGCTGGCGCGCATGCCGGGCCTGTGTAAGGCCCCGCGGACATGGGAGAAAGGGCGTTGTTGGCCAGTGCCACAGGGATGCGCGCGGGCCGGCGCTGTGGGAGCTGGGCGCGCAGCGCCTGATGGCAGCGGTAAGGGACGCCGCACGCTCCTTACAGCTGCCATCAAGTGCCCCCCATCGGTTGACGCCCTGGGCAGCTGCCCGGCTCGCCCATTCCTCCATCCGGCCCTGGTGCTAGGTCACCATCCAAGAATGCTATAACATGAGATATCTGGCAGAATGCAGGTAAAACACAGCAGGAGGCAGACAATTATGTTAATTAACTTAGTGACAGATTATTTATTTAATGAGTGTCATCAGCATGGAAGCATGTCCTCTGGAATGGTGACTGAAGCACAAAAGAGCATGTGAATGTTTAGCATGTAGATACCTTGTAATGCTGGCTAGAAAAGTGCATGGGAAAAACTGTTCTCAAGTAAATAAAAAGTGGCAGCCTTATCTCCATTAACATTAAGCAAACTTGTTTCTCGGAAAGATCAGCTGAACAAGAAGCAGGATTGAGTGGATTTGCAGCCTCTAAAGATTTAGCAAAATGCAGGACAATGTAGCACTTTAAAGACTAACAAGATGGTTTATTAGATGATGAGCTTTCGTGGGCCAGACCCACTTCCTCAGATCAAATATCACTATTCTAAAGATTTAGATTGTTTTATTTTTGAGTGCAGTTATGTAACAAAAAAAAATCTACATTTTAAATTGTACTTTTAGGATAAAGAGATTGCACTACAGTTCTTGTATGAGGTAAATTGAAAAATACTATTGCTTTATCTTTTTACAGTGTAAATATTTGTAATCAAAATGAATATGAAGTGAGCACTGTACACCTTGGCTACGTCTAGACTGCCATGCTTTTCTTGAAATGCTTTTAACGGAAAAGTTTTCCGTTAAAATCATTTTCGGAAAAGACCGTCTAGATTGGCAAGGATGCTTTTCCGCAAAAGCACTTTTTGCGGAAAAGCATCCGTGGCCAATCTAGACGCGCTTTTCAGCAAAAAAGCCCCCATCGCCATTTTTGCAATCAGGGCTTTTTTGCGGAAAACAACTCTCAGCTGTCTACACTGGCCCTTTCGTGCAAAAGTTTTGTGCAAAAGGGACTTTTGTCCGAACGGGAGCAGCATAGTATTTCCACAAAAAGCACTGATTTCTTACAGAAGGAAGTCAGCGCTTTTGCGGAAATTCAAGTGGCCAGTGTAGACAGCTGGCAAGTTTTTCTGGAAAAGCGGCTGATTTTCCAGAAAAACTGGCCAGTCTAGACACAGCTCTTGTATATGTGCTGTAAGTGAAATCAGTGTATTTGAAAAAGTAGAAAAATATCACCAAATATTTAATAAATTCGAAATGATATTCTATTATTTAACAGTGTGATTAAAAATGTGATTAATTATGATTTTTCAAGTGTGATTAGTTTTTAATTAAGCTCTGGCATTAGCTGTTTAATTGAGAAGCCCTACTAAATCCATCATTTTAAAATACGTGATTTTTTTTCTTTTATTAAGAAAGGGAATTTTGAAAAAATATATTGGCATTTATGTTTACCAACCAGTCATGTATGTGCCTCATAATATTTGACTCCAGCATGGCTATTTGTATCACAGTCTGAAATGTATGCTCATGCCAAGTTCAAGTTATTTCAGAGCTGTAACTAAAAGCACATCTGCCCAGTGTCTAACATGCGTAGGCCGGGCAGCCCTTGTGGGAGATACCGGGAGCTGCCGCCCTGTAGACAAGGAATGGCAAAGCTCAAGGCGGTGGCCGTTCCGACGTGACAGCTCCCTGCTCAGGGGAAAGCAGTTTAGGAAACGCACAGCACGGTCCGGGCATCAAGTTATTTCAGAGCTGTAACTAAAAGCACATCTGCCCAGTGTCTAACATGCGTAGGCCGGGCAGCCCTTGTGGGAGATACCGGGAGCTGCCGCCCTGTAGACAAGGAATGGCAAAGCTCAAGGCGGTGGCCGTTCCGACGTGACAGCTCCCTGCTCAGGGGAAAGCAGTTTAGGAAACGCACAGCACGGTCCGGGCATCATAACA